CCAACTGTGGTTTATTTATTTAACATCAGCATTTTTCATAGAGCTTACCCCTAAGTAAAGATATTTAGGTTTGGAAAAGCAAAGAAACCATGTTAGCCAGAAGAACTATGTTAAAGTACGACTGAAAGTAGTGCTTCTTCAATCTGGAAGATTTTTTAAAAATATACATATTTTTGAAAACTTCAGATCTGAGAGTGGAAAAAAGAAAGAAAAAAATACCAAAGGTATCAACTCTGCAGAATTAGAGTCCTAAAAATAGAATCTAAGAGGAAATGCAGACAGGGTTATTAAGCTCCAGCTTGTACTCTGATGTTTGGGTTGCCTTCAGGATTGACTCAAGCAATCATGATCCTATATTTTTAAAATAACATCCAGGTGTAGTTGTACCTGCCTGAAACTGAATACGCAGGTTCTTCAGAAGATAGAAAACAAAACTAGAGAGTTGTTATAGAAACAAAGCCGGAGATAAATTTAGATAAGTGTTACTAGGAAAAAAACAAACAAAAAATAAATAAAAGCTAAAGAAGATACTGGATGGAAGTCATGAGCCCTTGGAGAACAGACAGTCGCAACTTCAGATGTGTTTTGTTGCTTTATAAATTGCGGATGTATGCAAACAAATGCATTATGGGTTAATATGTAATAAAGATCTATAGATTGGGATGATACAACACACTGCCCTATAGATGTAGTTCGACCCCACAACATCATCTCCAGAGAGTCTAGCCAACAATGGGAGCAGCCATCTGACCATACTTTGAGGATAACAGATTGCTCACTCTGCTGTTAAGTACAGCAGTCAAAACAACACTGCAGCTCACAACCTGCCTCTATGCAATTACTTTGAGGCAGCTGTCCTTTTCATGAAATCTGAAAATATTCATAGGGCAGTCAGTCTCCTTAAAAATGCTATACCCTGCATCCTAATATTCTTACTTAAATAGCACTCCATAAAATAAAAAACATGATTTTTGTTATTAATGGATGAATGCAATTCATATTGTTATGGAAATTAACTACTAGCAAAAGCAGTTAAGCTACAACAAAGTCTGAGTTACTGTTCATAACATAGCTATAAAACTGCCTGCATTAGTTTAAATTTAACCATTGCACATCACTGTATAATTCCATTATAATATGAGGTGCTCTTTTAAAAGCTAAATTTATGATTTTTGAGTGATAATGCATTCCTCAACTGATTTGCTTAAAGTAGGCTTCCCTAAGATGCTGTCTTCCAGATACGTTGAAAATTTTGTTACTAGAATTCTGTAAATAGCAGATTGGAAAAGTCCATTTAAAGGGTCATTAATACAGAAAGAAAGCCCTATCGTTATTTATTTATTTTATATGCTGCCCCTTTCACCTACAAGGCCACTCTGAGTTGCTTACAAACATAAAAATATAAATATAAAAACAACTAAAATTTTAAACAGCTATATACTGTATAAAACTAGAATCAAGGAGATGGACTGCATGAGGATGAGACCTTCTACCCCTATCAACCCCTTCCAGTGGTGAGCGCCCCCCCCCCTTGGGTCCCCAAGCCAACTGGCAAAACCAGATTTATAATAGCCAACTCATCATTTTTTAAAGAAATCCTTGCTATTCATTTATGACAATTGAGAAAAGCATCTCATAATCTTGTTTGCATCAAGCTCATTGAGGGATAGAGAAACCACCTGCAGAAGGAAGAGTTTACTGTGAATATGAAAAGAGTCTGACTTGCTTTTCTTAAAAAACAAAAACAAAGACTAGGAACAGATTTAAGATTATTTAACTCACATATAGCATACTCTATGTTATGTCTTAAGTGAGTTTTTAAAGAACTTAATTGAAATTGCGCCCATGGGCAAATTCTTTTAAGACCGCAGCTGGCAAAAACAGTTGCTAAACATGGTAACACCTTGTGATGGAAATAATTCTTAACCCCAGTCCTGATATAATGCTACATCTTATAAAGGCCCATAATTCTCTGGTGACTCCTTGCCTGAAAAAAATGATTATAAAGGCATCCTGTCTAAAAATTTTACGTGCAATCTTTCAAATCAGCAAAGAAGAACATACATCTTGGCAGGATAGACCCATATATCAAAGTTATTTTATCTAGCCAAGAAATCTTTTGATGTGGCCTCTTTCTAAGACATCTTTAACCTCTTTCTTCACACTGGGGTGGAGGTAACAACAACAAAAAAAAATGATTGACTTCAGCTCTCTCATAAAAGTTTGGTATTTTAACACCATCAAACGTATTTCTGCTTGGAGTGTAAAAACAAACCCTCAGTTGTTTATCTATCTTTAGATCCTGAAATGTTTCCAATAATTTTATCATACATACTGTATGATAAAAAAAGCAACGGATGGAAACTAACCAAAGAGAAAAGCAACCTAGAACTAAGGAGAAATTTCCTGACACTTAGAACAATTAATCAGTGGAACAACCTGCCTCCAGAAGCGGTGAATGCTCCAACACTGGAAGTTTTTAAGAAGAGATTGGACAGCCATTTGTCTGAAATGGTATAGGGCCATGGTGGCGAACCTATGGCATGCGTGCCACTGGTGGCACTCAGAGCCCTCTCTGTGGGCACGCGCGCCGTTGCCCCAGTCCTAGGCCTTCAGCTGGGTTTTATAAAACCTTTTCGCTTTAGGCCTCCGCTGCTGTGTGCAAAAAAAAAAAAAAAAAAGTTTCAATCAATCAATCAATTTCAACTTCTCGTGGAAAAAATAAAGATCTGGAATTGATTGATTGAACTTTTTAGTCCCACCCAGTCTGCCATTACCACCGCAGCCATGCCTACCCAATGCACCACACCCACCTGGCACACGAAGATACATAACTGAGTTTTGGGTTGCAGTTTGGGCACTTGGTCTCTAAAAGGTTCGCCATCACTGGTATAGGGTTTCCTGCCTGAACAGGGGGTTGGACTAGATGACCTCCAAGGTCCCTTCCAACATTATTATTATTGTTGTTGTTGTTGTTATTTAGACTTTGCTTTTCTTCCTTTAATCCTTATATTCTTTTTTTTAATGATTGTTGTGTTAGGGCTTTACATAGTTATTGTTATTAGGATTGCTTTTACTTTGACCACGGATGGTATAAATCTTGTTTTATATATACTGTAAGTCACCAAGAATCACCGTGATTGTGGCAGGCTAGAAGTTAGTTGATTGAATGAATAAATGCATATATACATATATACATACAGAGCAGACTTAGCACTAATACCTCAGCTCTGTGTTACTATTATTTAATCCTGGGTTAGAGAAGGAGAGGAGGAGCACAGATTTTTCCCACAGTAGTTATGTCCCGTATTAGGGAGTGTACACACAGACACACACCCTCGCCATAGAGATCCAATTGGCTTATTTTATTTGAGAAGATTGGAATAAAAAAGAGGAAGCAACGTCATGGTCTTTCAAAGAAAGACGAGGAAAAGCAAAAGAGGAAGGAGTGAGAAGAAACCAAAAGTGGAAGGAGGAATGTGATCTCATGACAGGCTGGACTATTTGTTCAACATCTGTACATCCCACCATCCTCATCAACTGCATTAAACTGACCAGATGTAATGGAAGGTACAGCTGAAAATCTGCTGATAAGGAAAGACTATTCTGCTCAGCTGGCCACGCCTCCCTAACAGGCAACCTTTCAAGGAAACTGCAGCCCAGCATTTTAAAAGAATATATATACAGTATTCTTTTAAAATGCTGGGCTGCCAAAGACGGTCCAGGATGGTGCTCATAAAAAAAAAGGGAAGGAAGGGCTTTAGCACCAATGTCCAATCTCTTCCCTATCTTTCCAACAGGACTTTGAGTGGCAAAGAATTGTTGCAGAGTAAGAGGGGGGGGGGACGTGTAAAGGGCAAAAGGAAACAGTTTGGCTTGGTTTCCCTCCTGCCACTGGAGTAGCCGTCAGCCGTCCAGCCACCCCAAATTTGCCCTTCAAGCCATCCGTCATAGCACAGAGTGACCCGAACTGACCGGCTTCTCTCATCCGCACTGCTTTAACGCGGTATCCGAATCGGCCCAATACACTGAAACGTATGCTGATCCAATTCACACAATACGCCAAACCACCGTTCAATCCACAGTTGGGCAGATAACACCTTTTAGGTCTCTATTTAACCTGGTTAACCACGTGATGCAAACAAAGCCAATGAGTTCCAAACTCTAGACTTAAAAGTTGACACGCGTTTGGAACAGATCCCCTTCACGAGAGCCGGAGCTCGCCTTCTCCGCGCCTGAAGTCTCGCCTTCCTGACAGCGAAGGGAGGGTTCAAGGCTAGAATTCCCAGCTACCTCTCTCCGGCGCGTTAGACGGGGCTTTCTGAACACAACCCCCAGAGGAAGGTTGCCTTCGCCCAGTGCAGTCACCGCACCGGAGTTCCTAAACTTGGCGCCCGCTCTCTTTCGGGCTGTCTGCTTCCCCTGCCTTCGACGGCCGCCGGGCGCTTTCCGCTCTCGCTGCCCACGCGCTGCCTTCGCCTCGCCCGGGACGCTCCCGCAAGGCCGGCGAGGAAAAGAGACCCGCCGGGGATGGCGGGGAGCAAGAGGCCCCGATCTGAAGGCGCGGCTGCGCTGCCGCCGCGGCGGTTTTGCTGAGCTGAGCTGGGAGGAGGAGGAGGAGGAGGAGAGGAGGAGGAGGAGGGTAGTAGGTGAGGCTGGTCGTGCCGGCTCCCCTCCCTCCCTCCCTCCCCACCCCGAGCAGATCCATCCTTCCAGAGGCGGCACGGTCTGCCTGCCTGGGGAGGGCAGCTCGGGAGAGGCGATTTGGCCAAGGTGTAGCCGGTCGCCTCTTGGCGAGAAGCGGGGCGCTGCCTGCCTGCCTCCCTCGGCCTCTCACCTGCTCCTGCGGCGGCAGCGGGGCAGAGGCCCTGCCTGGGCTCGCCCGGGCTCCCGCCAGCGGTGCGAGGCTCGCCTCCTTCCCTCCCAGCGCCCGCGCTCTGCCCGGATCGCCCGTGCGTTGCTTTCGCCCGGCCTGCCTCTCGCCGAGCGCCGGGCTGACCATGCTGGGGACCCGCCGCGACCGGCTGCTCATCCTGCTCCTTCTCGGGGCGCTGCTCAGCGCCGATCTCTACTTCCACCTCTGGCCCCAAATGCGGCGCCGCCTCGCTCCGGCCGAGACGGCTGAGCCACGCTGCTCCTGCCCCGCCGAAGCCGCCGCCGCCGCCGCCGCCGCCGGTCCAAAGCTCCGGACTCGGCCGCCCGCGAGCGCGTCCGCCAACCGGACCCGCCAGGCCGACCGCTCCAAGCTGAGGAGGCTCTTCGCGCACCCGCTCTACAGCGCCCCCGAGGGGCCGGCAGAGAAGTTGCTCAACGGGCAGGAGACGCTGCGCTACTACCGGCGGAAAATAGCCCGCTGGAACAGGTGCGTAGTCCCGGCCGGGGAAACGCGGCTCCGGCGCCTTTCGCGCAGAGCGAGACCCGAGCCGGAAAACCCGCTTGTGGCTGCGATCCCACGTGCGCGTGCGTAGCCTCGTGGCTAGCTGGTTTCTTGGGCTCGCGCGGAGAGAGAGAAAGTTGTTCCCCTCGCACGCCTCTGTGTAATGGGGGGGGGGGGGGGGAGATGGGGGGGAGTTGGTGCGAGGTTTGGTTGCAAACTTCCAAACTCTTCTTCCTGAATCTGATCTCGGTTGCCAGCTGGTTGGGAACTCAGTTTCAGTATCTCCGAGGAAATCTCTCGGCTAGCAATAGCAACAGCACTTAGGTTTATATACCGCTTCACGGGGCTTTACAACCTTCTCTAAGCGATTTACAGAGTCGGCATATGCCCCCCCCCCCAAAAAAATCTGGGTCCTCGTTTTATCGACCTCAGGAGGATGGAAGGCCTGCCTTCGTAGAACGGGCCAGGGGTGGGGGGAGGGGTTGATGGTCTCTTTCTGCTTCCCCCCTGGGCAAATATGTGCTGGGTCAGATTGGCAGTTTCCTCATTTATGGTTGCACTTTTTAGATTCTTATCTCTTTGAACACTCCTCACTATCCTTCCCATCCTTGGACCTGTGCCGGGTCTCAGGCTGCGGTGCCCAGAGTGGCTTCAGCCAAACGGTGGCAATCAGATTTATGCTGAACAATCTGCTAGAACAGGGGTAGTCAACCTTGGCTCTTTTATGACTCGTGGACTTCAATTCCCAGAATTCCTGAGCCAGCTTAGCTGGCTCAGGAATTCTGGGAGTTGAAGTCCACGAGTCATAAAAGAGCCAAGGTTGACTACTCCTGTGCTAGAATATCCTCAAGCAGGACAGATTGGTTTCTGCCCCATTGGCCGGCCTAACCACCCTCAGCCAAAGTTAGAAAGCGTCATTTGCCTCCATCCGTCCCAACCATCCATCCTTCCGTCCACCCATCCATCCCATCCACCCAGACACGGACTCCTAAGTCCTTGTTGTCAGAGCCCATTCTAGGAGTCTGTGCCTTTCCCTACCGGTCTCCATCCATTCTTGAGCCATTTAAAAAAAACAGCGCCCTTGCCAATGTGCTGCCAGTCCCGCCTTGTGCCTTTAGCCTTGGTTCCACCTCACTGCCGTTGCCAGACTTCCCTCTGAGGTGACTAAGCCTAACAGCTTTTCCACACCTTAAAGGCTTAGATGGTGGTGTAAGAAGGAGACTAATCCTATTGTGATACCACTTCGGCTAAGAATGGCTTAAGGTTGTTACATTTGGGGATGCCTGCAGAAAGCAGAGCCAGCTGGTGTGTGTGTGTTGGCTGAGATGTCATTCTTGGACATTGTTCTTCTGTAGGATGGGACTGACAGGTCTGCCGGGTAGGCTAATTTTGTGCGACTTTCTTGATAGTGAAATCACAGCGGCTGCTTGAAGCTGAGTTCCAGAGACCATGGGGCTGAGCTATGGGGGGGGGGGGAGCCTAACCAAAATGGCTGTAGCAGGGAAATTGCACCCTCTGGAACCATCACCTGAGAGAATCCACATTGTGGAGAATGGCTGGGGAGATGTTGTCTTTGGTGGTGTTGGTTGGGAACGAGTCTTTTTTCCAATGTAAATTAGTCCCAGAATTAAGATACTGGTAGTCCTCAATTTATGACCATAACTGGGACAAGAATTGCCATTGCTAAGTAAGACGGTTGCTAAGTGAGTCACAGCCAATTTTACGACCTTTTGGGCCACAGTTGTTAATCAGTGCAGTTATGAAGTGAATCATGAAGTTGTTAAGCGAATCCAGCTTCTTCCTTTGACTTGGCTTGTCAGAATCCAGCAGGGAAGGCTGAAAATGGTAACCATATATGACTCTTGGCCTCTGCAACAGTCATAAATACATGCAGGTTGCCAAGTGCCCGAATTTTCATTATGTGACCACGAGGAAGTTGTAAACCCTCATAAGCAGGGGTTGTTGTCCCTTTTTCCAGTGCTGCTGTAACTTTGAATGGTTGCTAAACAATGTCTGTTTTAAATCAATATATCTATTCCTATATCTGGAATAGGGAAAGGGTAGCCAGGTTTAGGCATTTGCCTTTTTAAAAAAAAAAACCAATATCCTGAGGACATTAAAATGGGGGGCGCAGAGGTTAATGCCATTTCAGATTTCTACTCTTTTTTAGGGTTATAGCAGGGCTCTCCAAACTGGATAACTTTAAGCCTTGTGGACTTCAACTCCCAGAATTCCCCAGTCAGCATGTTTACAGGCAAAGCGTGTCTGGCTGAGGAATTTTGAGCGTTGAAGTCCATAAGTCGTAAAGTTGCCAAGTTTGGAGACCCCTCTGAGTTATAGGAAGCTGCCTTGTAGAGTCAGACCTAACAAGCTGTCTAACAGTGTCATCGACATGGACAAGCTGCAAGTCCTCAAGAATCCAAGCTGGAGTCTTCTGAATCCATTGTAGAGATTCTAGAACAGGGGTAGTCAACCTTGGCTCTTTTATGACTCGTGGACTTCAACTCCCAGAATTCCTGAGCCAGCACAGCTGGCTCAGGAATTCTGGGAGTTGAAGTCCACAAGTCATAAAAGAGCCAAGGTTGACTACCCCTGTTCTAGAACTAGATTTGGTATCTTCTGCAGGCAAAGCTAATGCTGAGCTATAGCCCTTCCTTAGGTTAATTCTGAGTTGGTCTACACCAGCCTTCTCCTATTAAATACCTTTTTAAATATGATAGGACTACTAGACTCTCCCAGATCCTTGGCCTCCTCCCCTGCTGTCTCCCATCCTCCTCCTGTAGCCAAGCATTTAGTGTGCTGATTGCAAATTCTGGGAACTATAATCCCAATATTTCTGGATAGTACCAAGTTGGGAAAGGATGATGATCATGAGGTATCGCAGATGTTTCCTTTTCTAATAACTTAATTAACACCAGAAGCACCTGCACCTGGCTGCACTCTCCATGAGGAGTGCGGATATGAATATGTATCTACTGATACCAAGTGTGATTCTATTCTTACCTGCCTATAAATAACAGCAGTCGCTATGTTAGCTATAAGCATTTTTTTTTAAATTACTAGGTTAATGGAAGTCATACTAAAGTGTTGCAAGTACCTTCATGCCCTGAACGGCATCGGGTCAGGCTAAATGCAGGACCATTTTTCCCTGAAGATATCTACCTGTCCCACAAGGTCAGATGGGGTTGGTGCACCCCAAGTCCCTTCTTTTAAATGCTGCCATTTTATGGCACCAAGGAAGTGTGCCTACTCCATAGTTGCCTCTACCTTGTGGAACACCCTTGCCCTAGAGATCCAGCAGACCTCCATCCTCCTATAAGGTTTGGAAGAGCTGACTCTTTTCCCCGCCCCCCCTGGGCTTTGGGGGAGAATAAGGTTGAAGGCCAGCAAGGTGGAATCTAATGGGTGAAAGAGTCTTACCCCCAGGTTGTCAGCAGTTTTTATTGCAGTTGTTGGGGGGGGGGCGTGTTTTGTATCATTGTTTTTTTGAACTGCCCAGGACTAGGATATCTCAAATGGATGACCATGTATGTCTTATGAATGAATGAATGAATGAATGAATGAATGAATGAATGAATGAATGAATGAATGTTCTCCAGGTGAATTGGAAGCAAAACAGTTGACCCTAGAACTGTACCTCTCAAGCTGTTGAGCATAATAATACAAAACCTTCAGACATGAAAATTCACGCTTAATGAGTGTCAGAAAAGCATCGGTTGTGGTAAGGATGTTCACAAAGCTAGCTAGGGTAAAGCAAATTGATGTCTAAATACTCTGTATTTCCCATTTTGGGAAATATACATTGCATCTGATTCCGATATACAAGTAGTCCTTGACTTATGATCACAATTGAGCCCAAAGTTACTGTTACTAAGCGAAACAGTTATTAAGTGAGTTTTGTCCCAGCTGTAAAGTGAATCACTGAGTTATTAAGTTAGTAACACGGTTGTGAAGTGAATCTGGCTTCCCCATTGATTTCACTTGATAGAAGGTCGCAAAAAGTGATCACACATGACCCCAGTGTAACCGTCATAAATACATGCCAGTTGCCAAGCATTTGAATTTTTATCACGTGGCCATGGGGATGCTGCAATGGTCGTAAGTGTAAAAAAAAAATCATAAATCCCTTTTTTTTAGCGCTGTTGTAACTTTGAATAGTCACCAAATGGAAGATTGTAAGCCGAGGACTGCCTGTACGTCTTCCATTATAACAGTGTCTTATGAGCATTACCTATACACCTTTTTAAAAAGCAAAATCAGCCATTACTCTCAGCCTATTTTAGAAAAAATCGCACTTGCCCATTAATGGTGCAAGTCTAAATCCAGTGTCATCCTTATTGAAGGATTTGGTCAGGATGAAAATTTAGGGAAGCTAAGCCTTGTAAAAGTGAATGGTACAGACAGTCCCAAGATTCAGAACATAAAATCCGTCCTTTTGAAAGGAGTATCTTTGGTAGCGTGACCTTTCGGAAATTGACATGCTCTTTATATCTCCTTTCTTCTTCTAAGAGATGATGACAGAGCCAAAATGTGACCATTAAACCAAGGTATACTTAAAAAGAGTAAAGCGGGGGGGGGGGGAAGGGACTGAAATGTGCTGAGGTTGACACCACAGTGAAATTAAGTCAGGTGGACAGCTAAGAAGATTTTTCTAAAGATTTGAATTCATCTTACAGTTGAATTCACAAAAGTCTTGCACCACTCAAACAATCGGCCCTATCTATAGCATGTCAATCATTCATGACCTTAAAAAACAAGCGGGTGAAGCGAGTTATGTAAGACTTCCCTGTCTAGCCACAGCAAGTTCTTCTTCGTCTCCAGAGCCTTCTTGAAAACCTAGGGAGAATATAATATATAAAAAAAAGAATGCTTACTGATAAAAATGCAAGTCTTGGTGTTTCACACTGCACTAAGTGCTATTATGGTTTGTTAGCTTTTGATTTAGCAACGTGTATGAATCCAGCCAATTGTGGCATATATACCTA